AACAAACGCTTTCACCTGCTGCCTACTTTTGGGAAGAGGTCTCGAAAAATTCTTCACCTTTTCTTTCCGCCTTTCACACCAACAAACAAACCAATTCTTCTCAGTCTTCCACACCCTACCAGCATCGCAAATTCACCATCCAAAATATCGGTAGGCGATTACTCCCATCTATTTGGACCTCATTTATTGACTTTTTGGTCAGGAATTAGACCTCTGCAGTTACCACAACGCTCGTCTGCTGCCACCGCCCACACGTGGCTTCCACCTCATGTCGAACAAACGGCCACCGGTGGCGTCCTTCGCCCCCGAGGAGGGATCAGAGCCCATGACACTGAATCAAACACCCTCTGAGAAGAACGACTCGGTATCTCTCCCGTACGAGGTCTTCCTGCGCATCGTCGAAGCGCTTATCGAGGACATTTTCGACTGGGAAGAGCCAGTCGATTGGGATCTCAGATACCAATATGATTCCTCATCCAGGATTTTCGTTCAGGAGAATCGTGAACGATATGGATTCTTCCCGACGAACTCACAGATGATTCGCTGGTCACGCTCCAGACTCCCTTCTCAGATCAACTACGAAACCCGCCAGATGGTCAACAGAGTGCTTCCCCGGGCCGCCATGCTAAACCAGGACGGAAGCGTCGCTTGGATCGAAGCATGGCTGCGCCCGGACATTGATGCTTTTATTCCCCTCTACACCAAGTCTCCTGGTCTCGACTTCAACCAGATGTGCTTCAATGCAGCTTTGACTTACCCCTCCTCCCGGAACGCATTTGTTAATCACATCGAATACATCCGTCTCCAAGGTTACGACTGGATCACCGACGTCAATGACGACGATCTCGCCGCGCTCGCTACCCTTCCGAATCTTCAGGTGATCCAGATGGAGGTTCGCCGCATAATCTACCTTTACATGGGACAACCTGTTCACTTCGGATTTCGCCAGATCAACTATGAAGCCTTTCCTTGCTTAGGTGAATTGGTGGTGATTTGGGGTGAGAGTTTCATGAAGAAGTTTTCGCCCATGCAGGACAACGGCGTCAGGCTCTACGGTGCAATGCAGGATTGGCCCAAGATAGAGATTCGTGGCACCAAGGAGGGCATTCAGGGCCGGATTCTGGGAGCTAATTGCACTTGCTGCAAGCCAGACGAGGGTGTGAGGGAGGTGAAGGTTGAAACCACGGACGAGTGGGAATGGGATTGGAATCCCTCCAGGTACCTTACGAGACGTCAGAGATATATCATGGACTATGTTGGTCTGCTGTTGGACGCAGAGCAGTAAGGAATAAGGGACTGATTTGGCAAGAATGGATCAGATTCAAGGTTAGCGAGTACGGATTCTGGCTGCCAGGACTAAAGGAATCATAGAATGTCGGGCAATCAATTAGTGAATTTCGCCATGCCTTCGGTGCCGCTTTTCTTAAGTTTAACCTCACCTCATGATTCGTACTCAGTAAGCTCGCTTGTCTACCGGAGATGATTGTGGAACGAGTTCGAGATCTGAGTCCAACGAGCTTTGCAGAACTGGGCAGCGCAAGAGGGCACCACGGGGGTTTGAACATGTGTTAGGATTCAATGTTCAGACCTGCTGACGTTGAAGCCTTCATAGTGTCTAGTTACCTACTGCGGGCAAAAGGCTCGACTTCTTCTAGTGCTGCAAAGACTTGGGACAAAGCATTGCTCGTGGACAGTGAACGAACATTCGCATGGACTTCACCCAGATTCCACCTCCATCCAATCCAAGCTGAGAGGTAGGCCAACTGCGGGAAGGAGCGACCACGTCTACACATGCGACTTCCTATTTCTTCTTTTATTTTCACCTTTGACCTGAATTTGGCTTTAGGCGAGCGTCTTCTAAATTTTATTTTTGACCCTTCACAACTCAACACATTCAACCTTTTTGCAACTCTTGGCAGGTAGCTGGTGAAAACGTATCCGACAGCCAGCAAATTGTGTACGTCTCATTTCTATTCCCAATTCGAATTCGATCTTGATCTGACATTAAAATAGCTCTAGCTGCTACATCACTGGGCAGCTGCCAACACAACCTCCGCATCGAAACTCACATAACTGGGAACAAGATGTCAGACATCCAAATCTTCTCCTTTCAACCTAAGGAGGCACCGCAGCCCAAGCCGCTGCGGGAAACCCCGCCTGGCAAAGTTGGACCAGCTTCTCTTCCGCGCGAACTCTTCCTAAAGATCGTCGATTCGCTCGTTGATGACGTGACGGCCTGGGAGACACCCGCAAGCTGGAAGCTTGAGTACTGCTACGAAGCCCCGTCCAAGCTGGTCGTCAAGGAGCAACAAATGACAATCGCCGAAACCTCGCACTCGCAGATGAAGCGCTTCCAGCGATCCCGCCTTCCTTCACAAATCGACCGCGAGACCCGCCTCATGGTCAACAAGAAGCTCGTCCGAATCACCATGTTGACCGAGAATGGGGCCATCTCACCCATTGACGCATGGGTCCGCCCCGACATCGACCGCTTCGTTGCATTCTGCGCCGCCGGCAAAGATCTCCGCAACCAGGAGCTGCACGTCAGACAAGCAATGACTCTCCCGACCCCTACTTGCGACAGCTTGATCAATTCCATCCAGCGACTCCACTTCCCAAAACTTGAGTACATCTCTCGCAAGAACGCCGCCGCAATCGCTTCCTTCGCTGCCCTCCCTCATCTCAGAGAGATCAGCACCGTCGTCGGAAACTGGGCACCTGATTACAACGAACGTATCGTGCACCACGGAATGAGGAAGATCGACCAAAAGACCTACCCGACCTTGCACAACTGGGCACAACGCCACGAGTCAACTTTTGCGTCCATCTTTCGGCCCCTCAAGAACAAGGGTGTCAAGCTCTTAGTTGACATGATGATCGGTGACAACCCGTTCCTTGAGATTTGCGACACCGAGAAGGGAATTCGCATCAAGACTCTCATTGCCAACTGCAACTGCTGCAGCCATGACAAGATTTATTGAAAATGGGACATGGGAAGTGCAGAATAACGCTTCGGACAATTTGACACGGATGATGGGGTTACCACCGGAGGATAGACACACAGCATTGGAGTCTTGAAGAGATGAGACTGGCTTTTTCTCAGGCTTACATGGACGAAGAAGAAGTGCTGGAGAGGAATTGAAGAATGAGATGGCAAAAGCGAAACACGAGGGGAGGGAGTTGGGTAACACTTATTTTATCTGGTTAACCAAGCTTTTGAGATTGACAACGTTGCGCAACGGATAAAGACTCCTCCACCCCTTCTCCACTTCCATTGACTACAAAAATGAAGATTGACTCGATGTACTGTCAACCCGGTAACCGAGGCCCTCAAGATTTGGATCCAACGAGCTTTGCCGCAGCTCAACATAAGCGCCGGCGGATTCGATGGCTACAGCAGCACGGTGAATGTAACGCTAGGAATGACCAGTAAAGCACTGTAATGCAGCATAAATCCACGCAGCCGCCTACAAAAGGCTGGAGCTCTTGTTGCCATCCCCATTTACCTGACAACCACCCACCAGCCCGGGCTGAACCGCAGAATCCTGTCCAGTCTCTCCGCAACGTCTTTCATCGAGACGATTATCCACGATGAGCCAACTCCACACGCAATCGTTCCCAAAGTTCGGGCACCTTCCGACAGAGATTCAAGACTTAATATGGGGCTTGGCCCTCGAAAGCCCTCCGGCCGCTCACTTCGCTGATCTTGATGATGTGTCTTTTTTAAAACCCACGCGAGCTATCGAAGCACCAGAAGGAAGAAGAAAGTGGCATACATTGGAAGTTCTGATCAAGTTTGGTCCACGCCCGACTTCTATAGCTTCGGGTCATTCATATACCGCACCTCATGCCTTGTTGCTTCAGACGTGCCGAGCTTCGCGCAGGGTTGCGTTTCGACTTGCCAACGCCTGGGGTCCAGGAAGAGCTCTACAACTATACGCAGGGGAAAGGAGCACCTTGCACGACGTCGTCAGCCGCATCGAGTTGAAAAGATGCTCGGCAGGAGGGGACGGAGGCGAAAGACAAAATAATCGAGGACACGGCGAGTACCCCTTACCTGAGACTATAGATGTTCCTTCTCTTTGGGTCGATGGTACACAAGATCTTGTTTTTATACCTAAAGGCTGGGAACGGGAGGCGGAACGACTGCAATGTTGTATCTACGATTTCACATGGACCATTCCGATTCAAAGGGCGCGCTATATTGGTTTAGAGTGGCCATATAGCGGAAGACGTGTCTTTGAATCTTTGGCATGCTTCCTGTTTTCACGATTTCGATGCGATGTCCTTTACGTTATCCTTGGCCCAGACGAGCTTGCACAGCCTCCAGACGCGAATAAAATGACACTGGAGCTTGCTCGGGAGCAAAGACAAAAGCTGGAGCGACGTTTCGAGAGACCAGGAGTTCCAACTGAAGATCTAGCAGCGCATATCCCCGAGAGATTCTGGCGTGGCAAACGGGAGTTTTACGTGGTTAGCTGGGAAGAGCTCGAACGAAGAATGGTGGACTCGCCCTGTCAGGATTTGATAGACATTGCAGCCCAGATACTCGAAATCAGAACAGCGGAGGATGATGTATGTAAAGGTTGCGAAGACAAAGGCTGCGATCTCAAACCAGACATGTTTCCAATTGCTTGGAGGATTATGTCGTGGCGCGATAAGGAGGAGTAAAGTCCACGCGTTATCTATGCTCAGCCGAACCTGACATTTGCGAATTTAATTCTTATGCTGCGAAGAAGAGTATGGAGAACCAGTTTGAAACACATGAACTTGTACCTGATGTGAACTTTATTCCCGTTCAGCCTCCTCAGACAGATTTCTAATATGTAACTGTTACACACTTCCCCTTCCACGCCAGAAGGTTTCCTTGCACAAGCTCTTCGAACATCCAGTTCGCCAGATCTAACCTGCTGATGGTATACCCTACGGTAACTCCTGGCTCATGCGCGGCACCTTCAACTAGGCCAGCATCCTCAACGGTCCAGCCCACCCTGAGGCTCTCAAGTCCTTTCTTTGGCCCATCAGTCAGCAGAGGTGGTCTTACCATAACGTACCCTCCGAGTGGCGACCCTGGCTCTGTTGCGCATTTCTTGATCGCATTCTCCATAGCCGTCGTGTCAGCTTGGGGCACGCGCAAGAGCCAGATGTACAGTGGAATCATGACCAAAGGCTGGTCGCGTTTGATGCCTTGCCCAGTCGAAGAGATGGGAACAAAGACAGGGCTATTTTTGATCGCCCCCGCATTCTTGAGCTGACGCAATGCCTCAATAACCGCAGCGGCTGAGTCTCCCGTGACTGTGAGGTCTTGCATTGAGACGGGTTTGAATGGGTTTAGTTGAAATTTGGGCAAGGCCGTGATGCCACTGAAGATGATTTCGGGATCATAACGGAGAAGCTCAGCACATGAATGTACAGAGCGGGAAGATGGACCCTCCACGATGGCGAGGTTTGTGTCGATGACGGACTCGGGCACGTCGTATGAGATGAGCATTTTCCTCAACTTGGTGGCATCTCGAACGACTAAATGAAAACTGTCAGCTCCAGTCGACCTTGTGCATGGTTGCGAGCTACGTACGTGCTGCAGCTTTGTGGCTAGCCATCAGTGTCCAGGCAAGCACATGACTGAGAGTTGCCCCAGTCGCACCAACGAAAGCTGCTTTGACTGGCATGGTGTTTGCCCTGCTACAAAAAGCTTAGACTGAATTATGTACTGCTAGGTGGTAAGAGAGAATATCGAAGTTAATGATTAAAATGTCAACCTGGCTATCAAGCAGAGGCTGGCCCAATCACGGGGGGACAGGATTGAAGATATATGCGCCCGCTACACGATACCTCTCTCCCATCGGAATCCGCGGCCCCGAAGATGAGTAAAGTAGGTGGAATATAGTCTGAATAAGTTTCGGATAGTCATGTTCAATTCGATGTTGGCCCGATGAACTCCGCTGCTGAGACTTACAAGTTCGTCCAAACTCCACCCGGACTACTCCGGTACGCTCGTGGGCGGACGCCAAGACGGCGACATGGAGCAACTTGGCCCCAACGGAGACCGACTCAATCAAAGGCTTCGGGCCAGTAATTATTTGTATCATTCAATCAAAATTCCAGGTCTTGTAAAGAAGAGACAGAGACAGCCTTTTTTCTATAGAGCTTTTTCGATTCAAGACCAAGCAATAATCGGCTTTACGACATCGCCTCTCTTCATCGCCTCTACGGCTTGTTCAAAGTTGGGATGCTCAAAAACCTTCACTAGCTTCTCGACTGGAAATTTGCCGTCTCTCCACCATTGGACCATCTGAGGAACGTAGTCTCTCGTCCTTACGTGCCCTTGCACAGCTCCGAAGTACTGTTTGCCGCTGACCATGAAAGTTTGCATGTGGATCGAGATGTTCGACTCCGGCATTCCAGTGCCGACCTGAATGATCTTGCCCATATACCTGGTGCCATCAATCTGCGCAGCCAATAGTGGCGGGTACGCACTTGTGTCGATGCTGATGGTTGACCCGAGTCCTTCTGCTGCCTCCTTGATCTTCTCCGTAACCTGCTTCATATCGAGGCCGGTAGTGTTGATGACATGAGTGGCGCCGAGGGATTTTGCAAGCTCAAGTCGAGACTCTAGCCGATCAATTCCGATGATGGCCTTGCAACCCTGGTTCTTCGCCGCAATTATAGCGGCGAGTCCAACGCCTCCCATACCGGCAATGGTGACGCAGTCCTCCGATCCAGCCTTTGCGACATTGATGACGGTTCCGCTACCGGTTTGCAGTCCACATCCCAGTGGGGCCAGGATTCTGAGGTCGTCTCGACTGAGACCAAGACCAGCGACGTTGACGACCGACTTGTCACTAACAACGGTGTGGTGCGCAAGACTTGACTGCCCGAAGAATCGTCCCCCAATTCTGTCAGAGAAGACGGGCTCGCCCATAAAGTTGATCTCGAAGAAATTGGTGCAGTGAGAAGGCGGTCCTGTTTTACAGACATGGCACGAGCCGCAGTATGAGAATGAGAGAAGAACTGGGTCACCGGGCTTGACGTGAGTAACCGACATGCCAACATTGACAACATATCCCGAGCCTGGAAAATGTCAGAATTTGCAATTAAGAAGATTCAAGATCATTGTCTCACCCTCATGCCCAAGAACTCTTGGGTAGTATACGCCCGGAACACCGGCGTCTGCTGGAGTATTGCCACAGTGAAGGTCCGTATGGCAGATACCTGACGCAACTATTTCGACAAGAACCTCATCGTCACGCAGGTCTCGAAGTGTCACGGGCTCAATGGCCCATTTGCCCTCAGAAATCGGGCCCCTGGCCACAATAGCCTCGGACTTGAACGACATTCTGGAAAGGCTGGATAATATGTCCCAAGGGTATTGGGAAAAATACGGTCTTTGAAAGAAATAGAATTGGCGTCCAGTGGATGGATGAGGGGAAGTCATTAGTGAGGGGTCGCAGGGCGCCTCCGGCGATAAGCGGAATTGGCCGGCGATTCTTCTGTGCTGCAACTTAGGTAAACCCCTCCTCTAATAAAATTGATAAGACAAGATGCTCACTTTAAGCACCTGCCATTTGGGGTTATCCCCATTATGATGCTACAGAACTATTATTGAAGAGAGACTCTCGTCAATGATTTGCGAATGGCAGTTTGATTTTGAAAGAAACACAGTCGCGCGAAGAGTCCCCGGAGAGGGCAATCCGTGCAACACTAGATTCCGAGCGGAAAAGCACGAGAAGAACGTTGCAGGAGCTCAATTCTTTGAGTGCTTGTTATGGGCCTCATAGCCTTCTCCTCCTCTCTCCCGCTCTATGGAGAGCCCGTTCGAAGTCTGACATTAATGGATAATCAACACTGTCCCATACATCCCTCGATCTTTGATCATAAGCCTCTGGACTTAGCGGCTTTCTCTCCCAAATATCGCGATAGATGCCAGTATTCTCAATCGGCTCCTCAGGGTCTTCTCGACGAGTGTTATGCTCGTCACCCAGTATAGGCAGAAGACTCAAGTCGGGGTTCCTAGATGTCAAAAATTCCAGCAGACTGAGCTTTTGGTCTTCATTCAGCTGGAATATCCGATACGTTACATCTTCCCGATCAGGATGGAACCATACGGAGTCATTTTGCACATCTGAGGCTGACTCAGGCGAGCGTCGGTCGAATAAAACTACGCCGCCGAAGATGCGGGACTCAGCCCAGTATCCGACCATATCCGCAATCCCATCAGGATACTGGTCATGATCATGATACCATTCGTGCCTGAAGAGTGTAGGCCACGCACCCTCTGGATAGAAGTCCCAGAACAAGTCATCTTTAGGAGGTTTCCATGATGCTATACCATCCTCTTTGTGTAGGCTGGTGTCCAATTTGAAAATTTGAACAGCAATTTGATGAACTGCGACGGCAACCAGCTCAATCAGGCGCACCTTGAAGGCTCGCGATCCCACCGACGCCGCGCGGTAGTCGTTGATAAGCTGACCATCAGTTAGCAAGGAGTTTCTGGCTTATGTAAAATGGTGAAGGGAATCATTACCTTTGAATCTATCTGGATTGCTCCATGGTCGAACTTGTCCCGAAACTCGTGTGTCTTTTGTATCACACCCGGGCAAAGCTGTTGATGCAGGTCGTGAATGGGATGTCCGTTTGGCAATGATCCATTGCCGCTGTCTTGCGCAACTTCCGAGAGAGGCAGTCCGTCGATAATTTGTGCGAAGGTGATTTCCGCGATTTCGGTCGCTAGGACGTTCCATAGTGCTCTAGTGAAGGCGTCGCGGTGGTCGCCGTCACCCAATCCAACATCGATGGAAATACGATGAAAAGTGCTTGCGTCTGACATTGCGAAAGCGCTTGAATGGTTTGGCGACGCGCTTACTGGTGGTTCTATGATAGAAGTGGTTATCAATTTTGAGAGCGACACGTGGTAGATGGAGGAGAGGTTGCAAGGTAAAGAATCTGAAGGGCTAGTGCTGTCTGCTTGCCAGCCGAGATCGAGTTCAGCTTCCCGTCGTTTGTAGGGGAAAGATTTCAGTTGGTCCTGAAATAGCGTGAATTGACAGCGCTACATGCCACATACAAGGGTTTTTGATCTGGCGCCCGTTGGTCCGGAAGCCCCGCAGCATACAATGGAAGACGTAGGTAGCTATCTCAGCGCTAAGTTGCGCAGCTGTGATTGGCTCTCCGAAACAGGTTCACCAACAACATGCAATAAACTTTAGGATGCGCGCGGTTGAAGAAGAACACATCTTGAAAATGTGCAATACAAGGCGATTCCGCCCAAATTTGGGACGACTTTGCCCATCGGTCTCCCCTCGATGGCTTTGCGGCCTACCCCACTGGCCGCATTATCGAACACGGACTGTGAAAGCGACTCAGATGTCATTGTTGGTTCGGTCGCTCAGGCAGGCCGCAGCCCGCAGCAGCGACCTTGTCCAGCCGTCCTTTCCACCTCTGAAGAACGGCCGGGGCAACTCCCAGGAAGTATTCACTCCAATGATATACCAAGTTGGGGTTGTGGTTTCATGAAGAATATGCCAGGGGCATGTCGGAGTAAGCGCCGGTCCCTGTACCCGCGAGGCGCTGAGAAAGGGCGGAAGTTGGCAAGGTCTCTATCGACTGGCCCAACTCATGTAATCAGCAAGCGAAGTAATATTTAGTCGTGGACGCAATGATTCTTTGGTGATGCCCGGAGGAATTCTGGTTATTATGATTCTGTCTTTGATTTGTTTTTAAGCGCTTCAAGGTTTTTCTTTGGCTGCGGCAATACTCGACACTCTTGAATTTACGATTCTCTCTTTGCCTGTATTGAGTACGTATTACCGTCCAAGTGCTTAGGCAACTTAGAAGCTCACGCAATGATAAGACAAACCTCAGCCCGATATGTCGTCTATGCCACAGAGAGTTGGGGGGCTCGTCGTCCATAACGAAGCAGCAGACAAAACACATGTTCCACTTCCTCCGAATTCACAAAGATATCGATGCGTCGAAGCTATCATTGATATGGCGCTTTGCATTCTGGAGTCGCCACAGGGGAAACAGAGCCTCGTCGCCCTCGCCAATCAACTAGTCGCATTGCGCAACGCCAAGAAAAAGCCTCAGAAACATCTCTACACAGGCTCTCCCGAGGACATGCACATGGCTATCAATCTGTTCTTGCAGAAGATCAGATCAAGCTTTCCATTTGTGTTCTTGACTCTTTTTGACGGCGAGGGCGTAACGACTAAGGAGGAGGGAGAATGGGGAGATAACCTTCAGAACTACGAGCCTCAAAGGGCAGTCTGGTTGGCATTGCACAGCCACATAATCGACAACATGCTGTTCGCCCGCCAGCAATCGAAAGAGGTTGCGGGGCACAGCTATGCGTTGTTCAAGTTTCAGATGGTGATCACCGTCGCTCACGAAATATGTCACATGTTGACCAATTTCTTGACCGATGCAGATCGGCCCCATACCCCACCTGGCCTGAAGGTGGCAGGTTACGGGAATAGGATGACTGGTGAATCTGGCCGGTGGTGGGAAGTACAGATGTTTGGGGGTCTCGTCGAATTTTATGAAAATCAGAGAGACCCTTTGGGGGCTCGGCAAGCTGGAGTACCCTACTTGATGACGAACGGCAACCCCAAGTCCCCAGCAAGGCAGCTATCCACCAACTATGTCCTCGACTTTGTGAACGGCAGTACGTTATTTATTCCACCAACTTAGGTTCAAGCTGGCTGACGTTGCGGTAGATTATTCATACCCTGCTCGGGCATCTTCAAATGCGCCCTTGACGACAAGACAGGCTCTTCGTGGTTCAAGCAGAGAAGTTTCAGAACTACGCCCGAAGGGCATCTCCAAAGCTCCTCCTACATCATCTCCCCCGCGGGGTAACACACCTTCAGGCTCTGGGTCTGTTGGGAGTTCGAGTTCAGCCTGGCGAAGACTGCCATTTGGTTTCTCTCGCCGTTCAGCAGGGCGTTCCGGGTAGTTGTTCTTTGAATTGGCAGCCTGCGCTGTTCAGTTTATTCGCAGCCGATTTCGTCGTCTCTCGTCGTTATCGCTATCATTGTCGTCGTTGCGGTTGTCGGTGGAGACTGGCTCATAGGAGCTCGGGAAATAACACTCAAACAGGAGGCTGGGCTTTCGCAATGGCGCGTGTGTCTTACATCTCTTGCAGCATGGGCAAGGGGTGAGAAAGAGTCTTGTTTGGCCAATTCGGATTCGGGTTCGGTCATCATCAATATGTCGTCGAAAGAAGGTTAAAAGACAAGTGGATCAGATCAATTGAGATGTTTAGAATGGAGTACGGGGCTAGACTCAAACATGGAAGAGAGTCATAGGCCTTGCTGCACATCGTGACTTCACCTTTGAATAACAGCATGTTTCATTGCAGGGAGCGCCATGCCTTTTGCTTACTGATTTTGGGAATTCCACGGACAATGTGCTGCAAGGCACCGGTAAGTTTTTGAAAGACGCGTACGCGCGTTGGCAGGGTCAGATCCTCAGCATTTCGTTTGCCAAACCCCTGATCGCTTCATTTTACGGCCGAATTGCGATGTCGGCCGATGTCCCCGCAAACTCACTTGGGTTGGAGTTGCCCTCGGCTAGGCCTGGGAAGAATTTTGTCAAGATGGGCACCATCCGATAGGCCTTGTGGCCACACCTCAACATAAGCTTCGCCCGAAGGTCGAAGACGCCACACCCGAAAGTAGTAGTTCATTCGCGAGGAGAAAACTCACTGGCGCGAGCAGGCTTTCCATCACCCCTCTTTTGGTGCACATCAAAAGCTTGTTAAGAGCAGCAATCGACTCGAATTGCCAACTGTTTCCCCCAGGCTAGCAGCTTTCTCATGAAGCTCGTGCTTGTTGTTATTCCAGAACGGCTGTCAAAATCACCCTTGATGGTTGCTTGTGGCACAGCAGAATAAAGGAGATGTTCGGTGATATCAATTGAGGCCGTTTGAGTCGGCAGCAAGACACACAGCTCAGAATTGTTCTGAATTTCCTTTTCGCAGGGTAACAACAGCGTGACCGAGCGCTTAAGCGAAGTTCAATTTGCCTTGAAATGACATCACCTGCTAGGCACACTGTCTCTGCTTTGGCATGAAGTGACTTAGCTGCGCTAGACTTCACTCGTTGATTCACGATGCTTGGCGGTTAACGGCACTTAGCGGCGATCATTTACCAGGGTCTTCTTAGGCCTCGCCCTGAATCTCAAGTTAGTGGTCTCAACCCCTCTCAGTGCCCCTAGCTCCCGTACTCTTCCGTCCACCAAAAGGGCGGCGATTTTAGGCAGGATCACGCCGTCGATTGTCTAGCTCCGTAATGTGGCCACGAAAGATCCTTCGAGCATTTCGGTCCCGGAAGTTCACCGGTTTACGAAGGAATAAAGCCTAGACCGGGTTGTCTGCCTAGATGTTTTTTTCAGGGGTAATACGTATAAAGCCCAAGCAGAGATTCGACGAAGCAATCGTAGTTGTGTTTTCAGATCAACGACTTACTCGAACCATCCCTACCATTCACTTATAAAGTTCGCACCAAAATGGCCTCGCTCGCTAAGTTCGTCACCGCCACTGCCGCCCTCTGCCTGGCGGCGGCCCCTCTCACCGCCGCAGCACCGAACGTGACTGCCGAGCTGATCCCCGGCGACTGCTCCGTATACCCGGAGTACGATGCCTCGACCGGCCAGGCGGGGCCGTGGTCGATGCAGGCGACGGATACAGGAGAATACATTACCGGCCACGGGCTGACAGCCATTTACTCCCGCGGCTCAACTGGCATCCGATGGGGATTCGTAAGTTCCATGCCGGAAGCCGCCACCCCCGATTGGGGAACCTTAGTACACTTGCTTACTCCAACAATGATCAGATGGCCGTGCTTGACAAAGCTGGCGTGGCGCAGAACCCCCTTCGATGTGTCAACGGAAAAGGTATTCAAGGCTACGTGCCTACAGGCGTCTCGGGTTACACATGGCAGAACCTCGTTGCAGCCGATATTCCGTACGACGCTCTCCTGATGTACGAGGTTAACGGTACCGAAATCCAGCCGTACTCGCATTACATCAACGGAACGAAGCAGAGCGGAATCTTCTTAGGCTCCGAAGGCTACACGACGTGGGGCTTCAAGAAGGATACTGACACAGAGCAAGGGACTTACTGGGAGGCAAGACTTCTGGGAGCTGACAGCGAGGACCCTTCCACTGGCAAACCACTTTTTGATGGGGAGATTACTGGCTTCCTTAAAGTTTACGGCTCGTAAATATGACAGTGCATGACGACCTCGGCGTCTGTCAACCGGTGGGAGATGACACCTAGGCGCCCGCAAAGTTATCCGACGTATTGCTGTCCCGACTGGGAGGGCGAACACACCAATAAATCATTTTCAGAGTCTTAGCAATCTGAAAGCAGTAGTTTCCTACTCGTTCAGTCTGCTCCAATTCCATTATTTGCAGGTTTCGTCCAATCATTGGCCGCTTTGACCGCCTTTGAAAAGTAGCATACCGTGAATAGAAGCGTTTGAAACATTACAGGTTGCTTCCCGCATGAGAAGATGGGAAGCCTTGGCAGCGGGAGAAATAATCAAAGCGAGGCTCCGAGAAGGGTTTCCCAACGAAGCTTTAGCGACGGCTTCTTGCTTGACATCGCGTGAGTTCACGATGGACAAGCAACTCTGCAACGTAGCGTCTTACCTGCCACGCTTGCTTTCTAGGGCGCACCGTCCAGTTCTTATTCTTAAACGACGTCGTGCTTTACAATCTGTTTGGCTACTTCTGACGATCAGACTCGCGAATACGAAACCGATAGGGTCGTACATCGTTTACCACGCGAGCTTCAAGCAGTCACCCTTGGCTCGGACTTTAAGTCAAGCCCGTCCACCTCCCCAACCTGGCTCCCCGCGTTTTGCCTCCCCCCAGCACACTTGCCCGCGGCGCTAATGCAACTTCTTCAGATCACTTTGTCATTCGTCCCGTTGATCGGCACAGGGGTGAAGAGCCACCCTCCCTCCGGTAGTTGAGGCGGTTCCACCCGGTTTCGCATGCCGCGGACAAGTTTCGTAACCCACCGGCTATTCGTTCTACTCGTACTCGTTCGAGGCTCTCCCGTCGGTTATGTGGCAGACTAACAGTGCCTTTCGTCATGGTGGGGGACCTCCATGCGAACAAGGAGGTCAGGGGAGCTGGCGGCGGTGTTTGCTGTCATGCTGGAGCCAACCAACTGGAGCGCGGATCTGGAGGGTGTGAAGGACTGCGAGACTATATTACATCCTTAGGTCCCAACTTCTTCTGAGTTTGTTCATCTGTTCAAGCACACCATCGCAGACGTGCCGATCGCCCAGAATGTCGATGTCGATGCTCCCCAACATGAACGCCACCACTATGCCAGTGGTGGACACCACCGTCTTCGAAGAGTTGGCCAACCGCTGGCCGATCGCAGCGACTGCTGTGTTTGCCTGCGTCGTTGCCGTTCTGCTGCAGAGCGTTCTCAAGAGCGACCCGTGGGCGGACCTTCCCATGATTGGGACAGAATTCGGAGGAGCCGAGAGTCGAAGAAAGAAGTTCCTCAGCGGATCAGCGAAGGATATGTATCTTGACGGATACAAGAGGGTAGGTGACGGCATCGCGAGACAAGTTGCGATCATCACGACTAACACCGGGGCCTTGTAGTTCAAAGAGAGAGCTTGGAGGATTACTACGACCAGGGGTAAGTCTTGGCGGTAGTTAGACTCTTTCGACGAGTTGCTGACACAACCTCAGCATCGCCGAATATTGTCGTTGCTCCCAAGTTCATGAACGAGTTGAAGAGACTGCCCGACGATGTTCTCAGCTTTAACAAGGCTATTGAAGAGGTTGGTCTCCGGAAAGAAGCAGAGTAGAGGGTTAGAGGTGACCTTGCTAAACCTCTGTTGCAGTTCATGCACGCCAAGTACACCAAGGTCGAGACCGACATTGATTTGCTGCCTCACACCGTTAAGAGCAGCTTGACCCCAGCACTTGGTAAATGGTCTACATTTTGCATGGCTGCAGCTATCGTTGACTAACAGCGACCTAGTACGACTGAACCCCATTATCGCAGACGAAGTCATCGAAGCCCTGCGCATCGAGCTCCCACATTCTGGAGAATGGACTGAGGTCAAAATTATGGACAAGCTCCTCCGCATTGTCGCAATGGCATCTGGACGCGTCTTCATCGGCCCTGAGCTTTGTCGCGAGGAGGAATACCTTGACGCCGCGATCAACTACACCGTTGACTTGATGAAGGCCATTCGCAAGATCTCTGATCTTAGGCCCTGGACACGCCGATTTGTCGCTCCAGGACTGCCAGAGGTGAAGAAGGTACACGAGCGCATCGATGCCGCAGACAAGTTCTTGCGACCTGTTGTGACTGCCAGACGCGAAGCAGCCAAGGATCCTGACTACCAGAAGCCCTATGACATGTTGCAGTGGATCATGGACGCGCAGACCAAATTCGGCGAGAAGGATGACAAGGAGCTTGCTAGGTACCAGCTCGGCATCAGCTTCGCTGCTATCCATACTACAACGGTTACCTCTACCAACGCGTACGCTAACCCCCTTTTTCTAACATGGATGAATAACTCACGAGGACTCTAGGTTCTACACGTTGGCAGCCATGCCTGAGTTGATCCCCATTTTGCGAGAGGACGTCCAGCAGGCATTGGCCGAGAGCAATGGTGTCTTCACCAGCCTTGCGATGCAAAACATGAAGA